GCCATCTTTGTATGCAGATGAAGGTTTACATTCACCCCCAAAGCAGAGGAGAAAGAGAGGTTTAAGTTTCTCTTCCCCCTGGCCCCTCAGTACCCAGCCACCCTTCAGCCCCACCAAGGCTCACTGGCTTTTTCTCTTTTGTCCTTGTCTCAGTCCATTTCTCTTTCCCCATCTTGACTATGAGGCAAAAGTGTGAGCTGAGTGTCATAGTTCTCTGGCCCCATACCTCTTAGGTGAAAGCCCAGTATTCAGAACTGCCTCAATGGGACCACAGCACCCTATTCTGACTACTTCAGAGCACTGACTTGTCTTTATTCCTCCTCCTAGGCTGGGAGCTTTTTCAGGGCAGGGACAGGAAAAACAAGATGAATTCAGCTCTATTCCTCTGCCTGTGCCTCCTTTCCTTGGCAGTTACCCCAACTCCTACCCCACTCCAGGTGCTTGAAGGATGACAGACAAGAGACTCTTTGGGTGACGCTTAGGTGTGTCAGGGGCAGCGTCTTCCCAGCGCTGTAGACTCCACTGGCCTTGTCCTGTCTCCCCTCAGTGGTCTCTGAGGAGGAGGGGGCTGTTCCTCAAGCCAGTCCCCAAGCTTGATTTGGGGTTAGGGAGAAGAGAAGCCACAGATCACATGCCTTCCTTGCTGGTTCTGGCTGCAGATCAGCTTTTCCTTAGCGTCCTTCTCTCACCTGACCCAGCCTGCAAATCCCTGCCTTGCTCCTTCAAACCTTCACTCAGCCCCAGGGATGGCTCTGCAGGATCTATGCAAGTGGCAGGCCCCCGGCACCCTGGAACTATTACCTCACCTGCCTCAGTCTGGTGGCTGGGCTGTGCCCCGGGGCTGTGACCCTCAAACCTTCTTGCAGACCCATGGCCCCAGGCTGGCTCACGGCACCACCACCCTGGCCTTTCGTTTCCGTCATGGAGTCATTGCTGCGGCTGACACCCGTTCTTCCTGTGACAACTACGTGGAATGTCCAGCCTCATGCAAGATCATCCCTGTTCACCAGCACCTCTTGGGCACCACTTCTGGCACCTCTGCTGACTGTGCCACTTGGTACCGGGTGCTACAGCGGGAGCTGAGGCTGCGGGCACTGAGAGAAGGTCAGCTGCCCAGTGTGGCCGGTGCTGCCAAACTCTTGTCAGCCATGATGTCTCGCTACCGGGGACTGGATCTGTGTGTGGCCACTGCCTTGTGCGGCTGGGACTGCTCCGGTCCTGCCCTCTTCTATGTCTACAGCGATGGCACCCGTCTGGAGGGGAACATCTTCTCGGTGGGTTCTGGGTCTCCCTATGCCTATGGTGTGCTAGACCGTGGCTACCGCTACGACATGACCACCCAGGAAGCCTACACCCTGGCTCGCTGCGCTGTGGCCCATGCCACCCACCGCGATGGCTACTCTGGGGGTTCTGTAGACCTTTTTCATGTGCGAGAGAGTGGATGGGAATACGTGTCACGCAATGATGCCTGGGTGCTATACTCTGAGCTGCAGAAGCTCTCGGAGCTGGAGAAGCAAGAGGAGGAGGAGGCCAGCCAGGCCCATCTCAGGCCTGCCACTCTCCACAGAGCTGGCGAAGGTGGAGAACTCTCCCTTGGGCTGGTACCAGGAGACTCCAGGCTCCCTGTAGAGACTGAGACTCTGTGAGAAGCCTCAGGACTTGAGGGGGGCCCAGCCCAGGGAGTAGATGGAGGAAGCAGCCTCACAGGCTCTGGCTCCAACCCTTATGGGTGGCTGGCATCATTTGTTTCAAGTCTCCATCTCTTTCCGCCTCCCAGAGCTATTGATGGCTCTGTCCAGCATGTTCCTATTGACGCCCAATAGATTGCTCTAGCCTCCTTCTTGGTGCCAAGTCCTTCTTTCAGCAGATCCTCACAATGTGCCTGCTGCTTGCCAGACACTGTGCTAGGTGCTAGACCCTTTTTGCTTGTCATCCTCTTGTTTGCCTTTTTCCATCCTATCGCTGGTCTCTCTTCTTCCCCCCATTCTAGTCCTTGTCTCAGCTTCAGAGTCTTAACTGAGGTGGGGTAGCCAGAAGGAAATAGTAGCCCAGAGGGCCCGGGCTGGGAGAGGCAGGGCAGTGCAGCACAGACACCTAGTGGGTGGTGATGGGCTTCTCACATCTCCTCCACTCCTCTGCTATAACATCTCCCCCCACCCCCACCGCATTTGATGCTAATGACTGTAATGATTATTCCTTTACGGAATGCAGTTGTCATGATAACTCTGAGGTAAAAATTATCCTCACTACAGAAGAGGAAACCTCGCCCAAGGTCACATGGTAAGTGGCAGAGGTGAAGCTTGGACCCAGAACTTCTGCTCCAAAGAAGTGCTCCTTCAGCACAGCTTCTCCTCTCAGGTCCTCTCCCTGCCTTTCCTCCCTGCCATGAGGACAGTCCTGCAGGCATCTGGGGAGGGAGGTGGGGGAAATAGCTGGGTTAAGGCCCGCCTGGTGTCCCGGAATGACTAAACCACAGGGCGTGGAGGAGTGAGCCCAGGGAGGCAGCTCCCACAAAGCCTCATAAGCCCTACCTGCCAGGGCCTGGAGCCGTTGCCACAGCCCACTCATAGCCGCCCATGTACTCTTCTTTTGGGTCTATCTTTGCCACTGCCTGACTTCTCCTCCTCCTTTCTTTTCCCCCCCATCTCTTTCACTTTGCCTTCTTTCTAGCCTCTCCTTCTTGTAGCTCTCTCTGGAGAATACAGGAAAGAAGGAGGGGGCTATGCCAGTGAGACTTGTCAGGTTAGCACATCTCCTCCTGCCCCTCCTGGCCCCCTCGCCTGTAAGCCCTGACTTGGAGATGCAGGCTAACAGCTCCAAGACAGACACCTCCCCAATCCTACCCTCCCCAGACGGAGGGAAAAGCACAGTCAAACAAGAGATGGGACCTAAAGGGAGGCTGCTGAAACTTCTTTCTCTCATCCCACTCCTACAGCTTCCAGTCTCAAGGATAATAGACACCTTTCCTCCCTCCAGGCACTCCTCCCAGCCTCCAGCCCAGCCCTGAGCCCCAACTTTGTACCTCAGACTAAGGGTTCCTCCAGACAGGAGCTGGCCAGACAGAGGAGACCTCCAGGCTCTGGCCTTCAGGGGTGACTGAGGAGGAGGGAGGAAAGGTCAGAGAGCAGGAAGGAAAACAGTGGCAGTCAAGGGCAGGACGGGTGACTGAGGAGGAGGGAGGAAAGGTCAGAGAGCCCCAGGAAGGAAAGCAGTGGCAGTCAAGGGCAGGAAATTGTGGTGGCGAAAAGAGGCTGCAGAAGGGTGCCCAGTACAGGAGGACTAGCCTTCAAACCAGGGTCCAGAATCTGCCCATGGCCTCCACAGCAAGCCTTCCTCACCCGTTGCCTACTCCTCAGCCTCAGGGGAAGAGGAGTGGGACTCTGAGAATGATAACTGGAGATCAGGTACCCTGGGCCAGCCTAGTCCTGGAGGAGCACAGTAGGAACGGCATCTTTTGCCCAGGGTTTAAGTGTTTGATGGACTCAGGCATAAGAGGGTTCATCTCCAGGTGCAGAGATGTGTGTGGGTCTTGTGTCCCAGTGTGAGTGAGTGATCTGGGATAGGCGTGTGCTCATGAGTGTGGCAGTTGATGCATGTGTGGTTCTTGTGTGCAGAGACAGAACACAGACTAGAAAAGAAGGAGCAACAGCTGGATAAGGAGAGCGGCTCCTTATCAGGGAGAATGCCAGGCCTTGTCACCTCTTTTGCGAAAATGCTCCAGAGTAAAGAGGAGGTGGGGTCAGGGCTCACCCCACCAGTTCAGTACTTCTGCATATTCCCACCCCTATCCTGAGGCCCCAGGAGTGAGAAATGGAGGGAAGGATTGGGGGTCTGGGGCCTGGGATTGCCACCTGAGCCCAGCCAAAGGCTTTCTGTTATATGAGTGTAGCCCAGTCACCTGGGATGCTCTGTGTCCCACCACTTCCCACAAACTTGGAGGGAGGATGGAACTCAGAGAGGGAAGAACAGGAGGGGAGCCCTCCTTCCTGTGTCTCCTCCCATCGCCTCTCCTCCTTTTTTTCCCTCCTCTTCACTTTTTTGCTCCTCTTCACTCCCTTTGACAAGTTCTTTCCTTCCAGATGATGAGGTATTTGAGACCAGAAATAAGCCCAAGGATATTGCTGACAACCTTGCTTCCCTATGCCTTTTTTTTTCCCCCTCTAAGTTTAATGAGTTGGGGAGGACTGGAGAAGGGTGCTAGGGAGGGCTGGATGAGCAGGCGAAGGTGCACACCCCACTTAGTTTGCCTGTCACTACCTAGGAGTGGCCCGCAGTCAGTCCCTCCTTTTCTCCACTTATTCCTGAAGGTTTGATGCAGACCTCAGGGTGAGACCAAAGGGATTGATATCTTGTCCGTCCTGCCCTGAATTAGAAGACCCTGTTCCTCTGACACCCTGCTTGGGGTGGGATGCTGTCTCCTGTCTCCTGAGGCCTTCAGGGGACAGACAGCCTGCTCTTGCACAGGCCTTTGGGCAGTCAGGGATCCAGTTCCAGCCTTCAGCAGAGGAAATGACAACTTCGGCACTGGAGTGGCCCTATCCAAGCAGGCGTGAAAGGTATAAGAGAAGTCATTTTTGCATTGAAGTGGTTTTCCCCAATTGCCAGCATCCCATATTTAGAGGGGAGGGACACCAGTACCTTTCCTGACTCACCTACTCATGTCTACAGGAGCCATGCAGTTCCTGGAGTTAGGAGGCCTGGGTGCTCGTTGATTCTTGGGTGGATTCCTCCTCTGCTCAGGGAGTAGACATTGAGAGATGCTGGCTGCTCCCACTCAGCTCCCACCCAGTTGGTTTGATTCTGCCTCCCTGGTCCTCTCTCTCCTCTGTGCTCCAGGAAGAATAAGACAACGGACTAGGGCAGTTAAAGGTGGGGGCAGCGGGCCCAAATTCAGTGTGACTGTGCCGTCTCACCCTGGCCCACTCTTTTCCCAGTGGGCACCACTGGTCCCAGGAGAGACTGTCTTGCCCCTTCTTCTGCCCACTCCCCACAGTTTTTCCTAGTCTGGAGTTTCTCTTCCTTTTTCGTCTTTCATCTCTCCTCTTTTCTCTGTAGCCCTTACCCTCTACTCCTCCTTCCTACCCTCCCCTCTGGCCAGTCCCTACATCTTAATTTCCTTGGACAGGTTGAGAACAGGAAACTTTGGGAGCTGGTGATGGGAGTGGAGTACAAGTCATTATCTCCTTGCTCCCTGAATGGAATCAACCTAAACCCTCTTCTATCTAGAGGGATTTGAAGTGGACTGGTCTCCAATGGGGAAAGAAGAATGAGCCGGAAGGGACAGGCTTAGGGTTCTCCTCTCGCCCTTTGGCACAGTGAAGTGCCATACAGAAACCTGAGTGTAGAAACAGAAGAGGGCTTCAGTTCTACAAAATAAAGTGTTTGTTTATTATGAAATTAGAGATGGAGGCCCCTCCCCTTCCTCCCTCTTTCCCCTTCCCCAGCTGCCTCCCGCTTTCCTTCCCTTCCCTTCTCCTTGGGGCCTGGGAAGCACACAAGACAATGCCCAGAGCTGGGATGCCAACAGACAGGCAGAGCTCCAGGGAGGCGGCCACGCGGGGGGCTGGAGCTCTCCCCTGGGAGGTTGGCAGGCTCGCTCTCTCTGCTGGAGGCCAGTACAGATAGGATGAGGCCATGAGTGATGGATGGAACCATGCGGGCAGGTCTGTAAAGATAGGAGAGCCCAGTTAGAGGGGTACATGGGGAAGGGCTTCGGGCCACCAGTGCCCCACATAGTCTAGGGGCACTGACCTGGGGCAGAACATCCGCTGCAGGAGGGTGGGCAGCAGTGGCTGGAAGTTTCTCTTGCTTTTGGGATTGACAATGGAAAAAATCAAAAAGCCAGTCACAGGGACCCAGAAAGAATGGAGGCAGATGTGGGCAGGGGACAGACACAGAGCATGTGTGTTGGGGCAAGGATGACAGAGAGAGCATGTATGAGAGATTTAGAATCCAAGAGACAAAAACAGAGTCACGGAAAAAGTGGAATCACAGTGACAGAACATAGAGATTTAGAGTTGGAGCCACAGAACCCAGACCCAGACGGGGAGTGTTACAGACAGAGACAGAGATCCCTGGATAGAGACAGCAACTCAGGGAGAGGGAGGTAAGGAGGAGGTTGCTCTGGGGGAGCTGGGAGGAGGGACACAGGGAGGGGAGGACCCTGGGGTCCCTCGGCTGCTGCCGCCTGCCCGGACCTCAGGGTGCCCATTTAGAGGGCCTGTGCGGGCTACCCCACCATGCCGGGCAAGACAGCCTGGCTCTCAGGGGGCCGGGGGCTCCTTGGCCCCGTACAGCTCAGCCAGAGTTCGGAAGA